GGCAGGCGCTGGGACCGAATAACGGGAGCGCACCCCGCCGCGGGGATTCGAACCGCCGACCTTTCGATCGGCAAGCCCTAGGCGCTGAGGCTTTAACGCACAGCGCCACCCGCGTCCCTCTATTCTAGACACTAGACTCCTGTGAATGCAGCCTAGAATAGTATTAGCATTTCTTTGCTGCTGCATCACACGGTGGGCTCATGTTAAGTTTGTGGTCCACCAAGACCCCTTAGATCCTTTCTGCACGTACTGCTGGCCAGCAAGGTGTCCCCTGCCCTATATTTGTGCATCTAGCTAGGGTACAGTTTTCGCGCAAACACCCATATACATGTCCGTGGAGAGAGCACGCATGAGAGCTCAGTTTAACATGTAAACAAGCCTTTCTCTGTGAGGAGAAATCACATTGGTGAGGTCTTAGGAAGTGGGGTTCAGTAGAGGGGACGGATTCTGCAGTTCAGAATTTTATAGCAGGGGTGGGTTTTCAGTATATTTTTTTAAGTTACCGAGTTTGCATTCATATTTGGCCAGGGGCTTCGTACTCCAGGACCTCTGCAAAAAAGAAGAGAGAATATATACATTGACATATTCTATTGATCATTTTAAGTCTTTAGGACTTTTGATTATTTCTCGTCTTGTTCAGAGCATTCAACCCTGCATTTAGGCTTCATTTGCGATGTTTTATTGTCGTCTGTGAGCCGCTTTGGGGTTCGTCTGAACGAAAAGCCATACGGGAATAGAATAAATCGGATCAAATATAAGAGGTTGCTTGGATGATTTACTGAATTTATATACTGCCCTATACCCAGGGGTCTCAGGACGGTTCACAGAATAAAATCAGGATATAAAACCACAAAAAAAAGGTAAAGGGACCCCTGACCATTAGGTCCAGTTGTGGCCGACTCTGGGGTTGCGGCGCTCATCTCACTTTACTGGCCGAGGGAGCCGGCGTACAGCTTCCGGGTCATGTGGCCAGCATGACTAAGCCGCTTCTGGCGAACCAGAGCAGCGCACGGAAATGCCGTTTACCTTCCTGCCGGAGCGGTACCTATTTATCTACTTGCACTTTGATGTGCTTTTGAACTGCTAGGTTGGCAGGAGCAGGGACCGAGCAACGGGAGCTCACCGCGTCATGCGGGGATTTGAACCGCCGACCTTCTGATCGGCAAGTCCTAGGCTCTGTGGTTTAACCCACAGCGCCACCCGCGTCCCATATAATAAAAATAAAAACAACCCAACAGCCCCCTCCCCAGAAAAAAATAACACATTTTAAAGGGGCATAGGATGTCAATCAGAACAACTAAAAGCCTGGTTAGAAAGGAAAGAGGCGGTCTTTGACGTATTGCAGTCCTGAGTCATTTAAGGCTTTATAGGTCAGAACCAGGGACGCGGGTGGCGCTGTGGGTAAAAGCCTCAGCGCCTAGGGCTTGCCGATCGAAAGGTCGGCGGTTCGAATCCCCGCGGCGGGGTGCGCTCCTGTTGTTCGGTCCCAGCGCCTGCCAACCTAGCAGTTCGAAAGCACTCCCGGGTGCAAGTAGATAAATAGGGACCGCTTACAAGCGGGAAGGTAAACGGCGTTTCCGTGTGCGGCTCTGGCTCGCCAGAGCAGCGATGTCACGCTGGCCACGTGACCTGGAAGTGTCTCTGGACAGCGCTGGCCCCCGGCCTCTTGAGTGAGATGGGCGCACAACCCTAGAGTCTGTCAAGACTGGCCCGTACGGGCAGGGGTACCTTTACCTTTACCTTAGGTCGGAACCAGCACTTTGAATTGGGCCCCGAAACTAATTGGTAGCCAGTGCAGTTGGACCAGGATCAGTGCAATGTGCTCAAACCGTCTTGCCGCCCGGTGAGTGAGCCGGCCGCTGAATTCTGCACCAGCTGAAGTTTCCGAACAGTCTCCAGAGGCAGCCCTACGTACAACGCATTGCAGTAATCTAACCTTGAGGTTACCAGAGCATAGACCACAGTAGTTAGGCTATCTAGTCCAGATAGGGGCGTAGCTGGGCCACCAGCTGAAGCCAATGGAAGGCACTCCGGGCCACTGCGGCCACTTGAGCCTCGAGTGACCGAACATTTACCGTATTTTTCGCTCTATAAGACGCACCAGACCACAAGACGCACCTAGTTTTTGGAGGAGGAAAACAAGGAAAAAAATATTCTGAATCTCAGAAGCCAGAACAGCAAGAGGGATCGCTGCGCAGTGAAAGCAGCAATCCCTCTTGCTGTTCTGGCTTCTGGGATAGCTGCGCAGCCTGCATTCGCTCCATAAGACGCACACACATTTCCCCTTACTTTTTAGGAGGGGAAAAGTGAGTCTTCTAGAGCAAAAAATACGGTATTTATTATACAGTCTTGGAACTCGGGACGTTTTGGTTCTCGAACGCCACAAACCCAAAGTGAGTGTTCCGGTTTGCAAACGTTCTTTGGAACCCGAACGTCCAACGGGGCTTCTGATTGGCTGCAGGAGCTTCCGGTTTCCGGCTGTCTAGCCCTCCCCAAAAAGGAAAGCAACCCGGGGGTTTCTCACGTGCTCATCGCCGGCATGCCAGGACCTGCGAAGGATCCATGTGGGGGTCTCATCACAGCACCGTAACTCTGGAGGGTAAGAAAATAGGTGTTTTCCCGTGACAAGGCGAAGGGCTTTCGGGAAATGATATATAATGAATGGAAAAGGGTGTTTAAATTGGCAATCCCCACCCCCCAATACCTGAAGCCTTTTTACTAGGAATAATTTGGACAGAGGTTCCAGGAAGCTGAGTTTATTTATGGACTGGACAACAACAGCCAGAGCTTTCTATGCAGAGAAGCGGAAAGGTTACCAACGGAGGAGGAATGGCTTACGAAACTGATGGGACTATGCTGAAATTGACTGCAAAACTAAGAGGACGTAAAGGTAAAGGGTAAAGGGACCCCTGACCATTAGGTCCAGTCGTGGCCGACTCTGGGGTTGCGGCGCTCATCTTGATTTACTGGCCTCCTTCCCTTGTGGGTCCCCCAATCTGGTTCCTAGCACCGTCCCTCTGCACCCAACCAGTCAGCAACACCTTCGAAGGGACCCAGGAACCTCAATGCGAATTCTGGGCATTTGGTGACCCCGGGCCTCAGTTTGGGGGTGCTCACCTGTGGGGCCATCCCTGTCAGGCCACGTGGGGGGCTCATGCGCTGAATTGGACCCACGGAGGGGTGCCCTGGTGAGGAGGAGAGAAGAGAAAGAACAAGACGACGCTTAAGGCAGCGACACAGAACCTGCTTGCTAACCTCATGAGATCCGTAAGATTGGATCTGGGTCTTTTGGTATTTGTTTTCCATTATTATTATTATTAAATTTTTTTCTGACAATGTAATTATCATAGATAAACTAGAATAAAAATGTTCACCCCACACCCGAGACCAGTCCATTGTAACTATCCAACTTCCCAAAATTTCAACACCTCCTGTGATGGCTTGACCCCTTTCTGTTTTAACAGTCCAACGGACGCTCAGGTTGCGAACGTGATCCGTGCAGGATGCACGTCCGCAACCCGCAGCGCTGCGTCTGCGCATGCGCAGGTTGCAATTCGGCGCTTCTGTGCATGTGCAAAGTGCGATTTAGTGCTTCTGTGCATGCGCAAGCGCCGAAACCTGGAAGTTACGTGCTCCGGTATTTCTGGGTTCGGAGCAGTGCACAACCTGAAATCGCGCAACCTGAAGCATCTGTAACCCGAGGTAAAGGTAAAGGGACCCCTGACCGTTAGGTCCAGTTGTGGCCGAATCTGGGGTTGCGGCGCTCATCTCGCTTTATCGGCCGAGGAGCCGGGGCGTACAGCTTCCGGGTCACGTGGCGAACCAGAGCAGCGCACGGAAACGCTGTTTACCTTCCCGCCGGAGCAGTACCTATTTATCTACTTGCACTTTGACGTGCTTTCGAACTCCTAGGTTGGCAGGAGCAGGGACCGAGCAACGGGAGCTCACCCTGTCGTGGGGATTCGAACCGCCGACCTTCTGATCGGCAAGTCCTAGGCTCTGTGGTTTAACCCACAGCGCCACCCGCATCCCATAACCCAAGGTATGACTGTACGAATTCTACAAACAGCTTCCACATCTCCTCGGCCAATAAAGCGAGATGAGCACCGCAACCCCAGAGTCGGCCACGACTGGACCTAATGGTCAGGGGTCCCTTTACCTTTAATAAATACTGGGTCTGTTTTTGCAGTGAGGGCCCCGAATCTTGCTTGGTATGCAGAAGGCAAACTTCTTCTGCAGAGGATATTTTGTGCAAACCCCTGGAACGCCCCCCCCCAGGAAGTTGGGGACAGGGGGAGACCAACTGCACTGAGCCCGACTCGGGGACAAAAACCAGCTTCCTCCACAGCCCCACACCCATTTGCCAGGCGAACCTTGCCGCCCCCTGAGCCCACAACTCACCTTGCACCCATGCCGCGGGGTCCATCGCGCTGGACATTGGAGGCTGGGGTCCAGGCACACCCCCCGGTGGCTGTTGGGGGAAGCGCAAGAGCAATGAATCTGAGCACATAAACCTGTCTTCAGCATGCACACAACTTTGGAACTCCCTGCCACTTGACCCCAGGCCGTTGCTGTTTTCCTTTTGGCGTCTGCTAGAAGCATCTCTCTTTAGGCAATGCCCCTTACAAGGTCGACATGGGTCTTAATTAATCTTGATTTTGTTTGTGTTTTTTTTAAAAAACGTTTTATATGTTTTTATTTTTTTTCCACATTTTATTTAATTTTGCGCAAAAAATTGTCCAGGGAAATAGAAAAGCCATCACAGCAAGTAAGAGCTTAACCATATAGCTTTCCTCTGGATGTGTGTTTTTTAATGTATATTTTTTATTAATTTTTTCTCTTTTACGTTCATTTAAACAACCTTAAAATATCAACGACTTCCCTTCTTCTCTTCCCATGGTTCGTTTCACATAAATCCCTGCATATTTTGCTCAAAGTAAACCATTGGGTGAACCATGGTTACATCCATCAAAACTTATTTACACTGTGGAATTTATCTTACTGCTGCCAACGTTTTCAAATGTGCAGACTTTTCACCCACATATTCAATAAACATTTTCCAATCTTCTGGTTTTTTAAAAATGTTTTAAATACTTGTATTTAACCGTGTGCTGTTTTGTTTTTGATCTGACAATTTCATTGCATTTTTCCTTTCGTAAACCTCTTTAAGGTTGTTAAAGGTAAAGGGACCCCTGACCATTAGGTCCAGTCGTGACCAACTCTGGGGTTGCGGCGCTCATCTCGCTTTATTGGCCGAGGGAGCCGGCGTACAGCTTCCGGGTCATGTGGCCAGCAGGACTAAGCCGCTTCTGGCGAACCAGAGCAGCGCACGGAAATGCCGTTGACCTTCCCGCTGGAGCGGTACCTATTTATCTACTTGCACTTTGACGTGCTTTCGAACTGCTAGGTTGGCCCTGAGTGCTCACTGGAAGGACAGATCCTGAAGCTGAGACTCCAAGACTTTGGCCACCTCCTGAGAAGAGAAGACTCCCTGGAAAAGACCCTGATGTTGGGAAAGATGGAGGGCACAAGGAGAAGGGCCAACAGAGGACGAGATGTTTGGACAGTGTTCTTGAAGCTACCAGCATGAGTTTGCCCAAACTGCGGGAGGCAGTGGAGGACAGGAGTGCCTGGCGTGCTCTGGTCCAGGGGGTCACGAAGAGTCGGACACGACTAAACAACTAAACAACAACAACCACCCTACGGACTGCGTGGGTGCCCTTTGGTGGGTGGTCTCACCTGGCTTGGCATCCGTAGCGAAGGCCGCAGTCCGGCCGGGAAGCGTGGAGACATGAACGGCTGTGGGAGACACAGAGAGAGTCAAAGAGCAAGTCAGCCATAAATCACACCGGAGTTAGTGCGGGTAGGAAGGGTCTCATCCTGCGTACCAGACTGTCTAGCCAGAGTGGTGCATGCTCTGGTTATCTCCCGCTTGGACTACTGCAACGTGCTCTACGTGGGGCAACCTTTGAAGGTGACCCGGAAACTGCAATTAATCCAGAATGTGGCAGCTGGACTGGTGACTGGGAGTGGCCGCCGGGACCACATAACATTGGTTCTGAGAGATCTGCATTGGCTCCCAGTACGTTTCCGAGCACAATTCAAAGTGTTGGGGCTGACCTTTAAAGCTCTAAACGGCCTCGGTCCAGTATACCTGAAGGAGCGTCTCCACCCCATCGTTCAGCCCGGACACTGAGATCCAGCTCCGAGGGCCTTCTGGCGGTTCCCTCATTGTGAGAAGTGAGGCTACAGGGAACCAGACAGAGGGCCTTCTCGGTGGTGGCGCCCGCCCTGTGGAACACTCTCCCTTCAGATGTGAAGGAAATAAGTAGCTATCCTATCTTTAAAAGACATCTGAAGGCAGCCCTGTTCAGGGAAGTTTTTAATATTCAATGCTGTACTGTTTTTAACACTTGATTGGGAGCCGCCCAGAGTGGCTGGGGAAACTCAGCCAGGTGGGCGGGGTATAAATAATAAATTATTATTATTATTCCATGGGTCAACCCCCAGTGTTACAAAAAAAGGGGGCGGTAGGATTTGCAAGCGACGTCAAATTGTCGCGTGGGAAGGGGACCCCCCGAAGGTCATCCAGCCCAGCCCCCTACAATGCCGGAATCTTTATAGAGTGAGAATGCAGAAATGTTGCAGAAGAATGGCTCTGTAGCCTCACCTGACTTTGAAGCCCCATCATCGCGGCACTGGGGTGGTGAGGCGAGCCCTGGGGGGCCTGCTGGGAGCCTGGAGGTCCCTTGTGGGGCACGGAGGGAAACAGAAACAGAGTTACGGGGGAGAGGGCCCCTAGGCCGTGGCTCCAGCCTCCCGTCCTCACCCCCAAAAAATGCCATTTTCCCACAGCTGATGAGCAAAAATGGAAGGTGCCCCCCCCACCTGGGGGGAAGGTTGGGGTACAGTGATCAGAAAGTCCAGGAGGGATCATTCGGGAAGGAACAGAAAATAAAACTGCTGCCGGTGCCGTAATAGCGTTAGACAAATTGATGGTGCGGCTGGAATTGGGAGTGCTCTGGTCGCCTCAGCTAAAAGAGGATATTGTAGGGTTGGAAAACGTTCGGGAAAAGGGTGTTCCGAGTGATAAAAGCAGGAGATGGAGGTCTATTATGAGGGAAGGTTGCAGGGTTTGGGACCAGGGGTAGGCAAAGTAAGGCCCGGGGGCCGGATCCGGCCCAATCGCCTTCTCAATCCGGCCCGTGGACGGTCCTGGAATCAGCGTGTTTTTACATGAGTAGAATGTGTGCTTTTATTTAAAATGCATCTCTGGGTTATTTGTGGGGCATAGGAATTCGTTCACCCCCCCCAAAAAAATAAAGTCCAGCCCCCCACAAGGTCTGAGGGATGGTGGACCCTGCTGAAAAAGTTTGCGGACCCCCGGTTTGGGACTCGTAAGTTTTAAGTTTGTCAAACAATGCACGTCACGGGGAAATGGAAGGTTTTTTTCCTCCCTCTCTCAGACCGTCAGAGCTGACCATGAAGATCCGAGACGGGGGGAAAGATAGGACTTCTTCCAGCAGTGCAGAGCCTGTGGAACTCCCTCCCACAAGAGCCAGCCGCCAAACCGGACGGCTTCGAAAGAGAGCCAGCCAAACTGATGGGAACAGGAGAGAGTGATTGATGGCTATCACTGCTGCGACGGCTTCGCTCGTCTTCCGAGGTCAGAGGCAGCAAGGCTTATGAATCCCAGTCGTAGGAAATGGAGTTGACTGGGATTCCGCTGGGGGAGCTGTTGGTTCACACTTACCAGGGAAAATAGAGCTTCTCTCTGCCTCCGGATTTCCCTCTCCTGTTCCCCACACACCCTGGCCGTCCCCCTCCCCACATAATTTTCATATGGACCACACCTTCCCCACCAAGCCCCCACCCCAGGAAATTCCACAAGCAAGGCACCATCTAATTCACAGGTTCTCCCTGTCGGGCCGAGGTCTGATGTAGACTGCTCCTGCAGCTGGAGGTTCCATTCCAGGAGAGAAAATCCTACGGGACCGCCTCTCCTGGCATGTCCCACAGAGGAACTTACGATCTTCAAACAAAAACATCTTGGAGGTCCCAGGCCACAGAGAGGTTAGGCTGGCCTCAACCAGAGCCAGGGCCTTTTCGGCCGTGGCCCCGATCTGGTGGAGCGCTCTGTCCCAAGAGACTAGGGCCCTGCGGGACTTGACATCTTTCCGCAGGGCCTGCAAGACAGAGCTGTTCCACCAGGCCTTTGGCCAGGGCACAGCCTGACTCCCTCCTTTAGCAATCCTCACAGAACCTCTGGCCCAATGGTTGCCATCAATTTGATTTGAATTAATTTTATAATGAAATGATTTTAGAATGTTGTATTGTTTTATTGTTGTTAGCCGCCCTGAGCCCAGCTTCGGCTGGGGAGGGCGGGATAGAAATAATTTATTATTATTATTATTATTATTATTATTATTATTAAGAGAAAGGAGCTTTGCCGGCTCAGACCTGAGACCCCGCAAGCGTTACCTGGAAAAACCCAGACATCATTGGACTGGGCGCCATTCCATCCCCGGGGGCCACATTTGCCATCACAGGACTGGGTGCGGCCGTGGAGCTCTGTCGAGAAAGAAAGAAAAGCGGGTGGGTCAGAGCAGAACGCGGGTTGGACTAGATGACCCCACCGGGTCCCTTTTAACTCTTGTGATTCTACTATTCTGTTCTACGATTCCAATAATCCAGATTTGGAAAAAAACAACACGGACCATAAATCCCTGGCCAGAGGGAGCCAGTTCTGGTATCTGAGGGGGTCTCAGAGATGAGGACGGGCAACAGAGATGCGGATACAGTGGTACCTCAGGCTAAGTACTTAATTGGTTCCGGAGGTCCGTTCTTAACCTGAAACTGTTCTTAACCTTGAAGCACCACTTTAGCTAATGGGGCCTCCTGCTGCCGCAGGAGCACGATTTCTGTTCTCATCCTGAAGCAAAGTTCTTAACCCGAGGTAATATTTCTGGGTTAGCGGAGTCTGTAACCTGAAGCGTATGTAACCTGAAGCGTATGTAACCTGAGGTACCACTGTATTTATTTATTTCGCAAACATATACACTGCTCGTGTGTGCAAAAACACTCACACACAAACAAAACAGCCTGAAAACAGTTGACAAAATAAAAATAAGAATAGAACAATACAACTGTGCCCAGGAAAAATCAACAGCAGCAAATTGAGGCTTTAAAAAAAGTTGAAATAACAGTAGACTAAAAAAGCACATTAGAACTTGTACAGAGTTTTCCAAGCCTGTCTGAACAAGACTGCTTTTAAAGGTAAAGGCAAAGGGACCCCTGACCATTAGGTCCAGTCGCAGACGACTCTGGGGTTGCGGCGCTCATCTCGCTTTAGTGGCCAAGGGAGCCGGCGTACAGCTTCCGGGTCATGTGGCCAGCAGAACTAAGCCGCTTCTGGCAAACCAGAGCAGAGCACGGAAACGCCGTTTACCTTCCCGCTGGAGTGGTACCTATAGAGCGCCCCTGATACGCAGGATGAGACCCACCCTGCCCGCAGACTGTCTGGCCAGAGTGGTGCATGCTCTGGTTATCTCCCGCTTGGACTACTGCCATGCGCTCTACCTTTGAAGGTGACTTGGAAACTACAACTAATCCAGAATGCGGCAGCCAGACTGGTGACAGGGAGCAGCCGCCGAGACCACATAACACCGGTCCTGAAAGATCTACGTTGGCTCCCAGGACATTTCCGAGCACAATTCAAAGTGTTGGTGTTGACCTTTAAAGTCCTAAACGGCCTCGGCCCAGTATTCCTGAAGGAGCGTCTCCACCCCCATCGGTCTGCCCGGACGCTGAGGTCCAGCTCCGAGGACCTTCTGGCGGTTCCCTCATTGCGAGAAGCAAAGCTACATGGAACCAGGCAGAGGGCCTTCTCGGTGGTGGCGCCGGCCCTGTGGAACGCCCTCCCATCAGATGTCAAAGCGATAAACACTACCTGACATTCAGAAGACATCTGAAGGCAGCCCTGTTCAGGGAAGTTTTTAATGTGTGACATTTTAATGTATTTTAAATCTTTGTTGGCAGCCGCCCAGAGTGGCTGGGGAAACCCAGCCAGATGGGTGGGGTACAAATAATAAACTATTATTTTATTAATGCTCCACATGCCCTGAGTGACTGGGCTTCTTTAGGCGTCACAGAGTTAAACTATGGAACTCCCTGCCACTTGAGGCAGCGATGGCTATGAATTTGGATGGCTTCAAAAGAGGACTGTACAGATTCAAGGAAGGGGGAGAGGGCTATTGATGGGTAACTAGCCAGAATGGCTATGCCCCCTATTCCAGAACTGGAGGAAGGGGTGCTGCTGAATCCCAGTTGCTGGGAACCTCCAGGAACGGAGAGTTGCTCTCGCACTCGGATCCTGCTCCCTGGTTTCCCACTGGCGTCTGGCTGGCCCACTGGCTGGATCCATCAGCTGCATCTTCTTGCGTTGCTGCGGGTTGGACTAGATGACCGCCAGGGGTCCCTTCCGAGGCTACGATTCTACCCAACATCTTAAGTCTGGCTGGCCCCCCAGCAAAGAGAGAGAGAAGGGGGGAGGCAGGCAGAGCCGGGGGGCTGTGGGTCTGTGTGTGTGTGTGTGTGTGTGTGTGTGTGTGTGCTGGAGGAAAGGTGGTCCAGAGAGGATGCGGTTTCCATGGAAACCGGCAGGGAAGGATGCTCAGCAAGAGGTGTAGAGATGCCAGCCACCTACAGAAGCAGCCGCACAGAGCTCGTTCTCGGAAAACAGAGAGAGCCGACCGAAGAACGCTGAATTCTCTTCTACCTATCCTTCGCTCCACACCCCCAATTACAGGCAATTTTAATTTCCCCTGTCTTTCCTCGTTGTTGGTTTTCGAGGCTGACACATTTCCCTCCACCCCGATTTTAAAACAGTCTTTCAAATCCCACCCCCCCACCCTGTGGTTTTATAACCATCCGATTTGTATATCGCCACATCATATTTTTGGGGGGGTTTACAGCAGCGAAATAGAACAACAACAACAAATAAAATTAAAAACTGTAAGAAAATTAAAAAGGGATGCTAGTTAACCGTTGCGGAAGGGTCTCTTCTTAATTACTTGCACAGGCCTGGGCAAAATAGGTGCTTGAAATGCAAAAACAGAAAAATTTGTCTGCTAGGTTTCTATAGCTGTGGAGTATTTGCTAACTTGGCGCCCAGCAGATGTTTTAGGGAGTGCCAGACGAGGAGTTGTAGCCAGACACATCTGGGAGGTTCCCAATTGACAAAATTGTTTATTATTATTGGGGGGTTAACCTTTCCACTCCACCCCACACCTCCTCAAAACTGCTCCCTGCTGAACGTTATAGCAAGAAGAATCGGTCCCCGGCCTTGCTTTCTTCTTCTTCTTTCCTCCTCCCTCCTCCTCGCGCCTTCCTCGCATGCCACGCCTTTGAGACGGCAAGCGTGCGTACTCACGTAATCGTGGAAGGTCTTGGCTTCGCTCGAGTGCTCGCACGTCTCCCTCCGGTCGGGCGCAGCGCAGTACAGGTCCCAGAAGACACTGCGGAGTGATTGGGGGGGGGGCAGAATTAAGATACGTAGCTCTGTCTTAGACCAGATCAAGACTAATTTGCCCATCCAGCAAAGGGCCAAAGTGGTTGCTATAACTGCTTTATATATGTTCTAACACGAAATACCTTTAAAAGCAGGGTGCAAAAAAATCGATGATTTTATAAAAAAATAAATTGATTATTTTGATTTAAATTGGATTTTTAAAATAAAATGCTTTGGGAGGAAAAATGTTTCTAAAGATTTTTTATTTAAGTTACATTAGGAAACAGTTAACAAACATGGATACATATGCTATTATGTTGCTGCTTTAGCAAAATAAATTGTTTAAATTGTTATTAGTTTTCTCCTTCCAATAAAGCACAGCAGAAAAGTTGTCCAAATGTAAACAGTTAACTTATTAACCCTCACGGTAATTTCATAATTATCTGTCTATGTATTCCTATGTATTCCTAATAGTATAACCAAATCAGTCATTTTTTTATATAACTGTAAAAACTACTCTGAAAATTTATTATTCCAAAAATGAAACCTTCCTCTGGTTGTAAATATTAAGATTATACCAGCAAGAATGAGTCTTTCTGCAAAAAAATTTTTTTTTTAAAAAATGTTTTAAATCAAGCCTTACTGGCTAGTGATTGAAATTGTGATTGACATCAATTTGATTTAAATCAAATCCCCCCTGTTTAAAAGAAAAATTTCTTATAACGCTTTCTTTTTTTAAAAAAAACACCCAGACATCAATCTTAATTAATTAATTAATTTTAATTAATCTTAATGACAACATTGTCTTAATTGCCTGCACAGACCTGCCAGAATAAACAAGTTTTCGGATGGCGTCACCGTGAAGTTAAAACAGGAAGCCCCCCTGCTGCATCTCTAGTGGCAGAGAGTTCCGCCGGATGAGGTCAAATGGGCTTCGCTAACTCGGGAAACGCCGAACGACGCTCCTGCAGGCGGTCTCAGCGACCCATAGAATTGGAAGGGACCCTGAGGACCAACGAGGGCTGAGCCCATGGGGCACAGGGAATCCCACCCTTTTCCAATGTCCACCAAACTTTCTGGGATAGTGAATTTTTATTTTTATTGGGGGGAAACAATTGATTTAGTGTGATCTTATCTAGAGGTGGCTGAGGGAATGCGTATACACAGCGTATAGGGCAGGGGTGCCCAAACTTTTCCAAGAGGGCCAGATTTGATGAAGTGAGGGCCGACCATGGCTGTTGAGCTTTTTTAGGATTGAAGTTCTTGAGCTTTTTAAAGGATTTTACCCCAGGACATATACTGCCACACGGGCCGGATTAAATCGACTGGCGGGCCGGATTAGGCCCCCAAAACGGACTTTGGACGTGTATAGGGGGTAATCCACTGGGAGCAAGAATATTTGGGGAATTGGGAGTTGGGACTCGATGATTCTACAAATGGAAAAGGAACCGGCTTGTTTGTGGGTGATCGGGGGGGGGGGGACACAAACCAAATTAAATAATTTATTTTGGAGTGATGTGTTAGTTAGTTAGCTGTTTACAGCCGTACCTTGGTTTTCGAACAGCTTAGTTCCCGAACGTTTTGGCTCCCGGACGCCGCAAACCTGGTAGTGACTGTTCTGGTTTGCGAACTATTTTTGGAAGCCGAACATCCTAATGGGGCTTCCACAGCTTCCAACTGGCTGCAGGTTTTGGTGCTTGCGCATGTGCAGAAGCGCTAAATTGCACTTTGCGCATGCGCAAATGCTCTGAATCACGACCCGCGCGTGTGCATGCGCGGCGCTGCGGGTTGCGAACCCAAGTGTCTTGTGTGTGTGTGTATATGTGTGTGTGTGTGTGCGTATCTTGCTATAGAAATAGAAACATAAGGCTGTCGTCACGCTGCTATACGGCAGCGCAAACGGCTCTCCCCGCTCGGCGTTGGCGTTCATAGAAGATGCACATGCGCAGAAGCTCCGAATCATGACCTGCGCATGCGTGGCACTGCGGGTTGCGAACACTGCGAGATGCGAACCCGAGTGTCTACTGTGTGTGTGTGTGTGTGTGTGTGTGTATACAGTGGTACCTCGGGTTAAGTACTTAATTTGTTCTGGAGGTCTGTTCTTAACCTGAAACTGTTATTAACCAGAAGCACCACTTTAGCTAATGGGGCCTCCCGCTGCCACCACCGCACGATTTCTGTTCTCATCCTGAAGCAAAGTTCTTAACCCGAGGTACTATTTCTGGGTTAGCGGAGTGTGTAACCTGAAGCGTATGTAACCTGAAGCGTATGTACCCTGAGGTACTACTGTGTGCGTGTGTGTGTATAAAGTGGTACCTCGGGTTACATACGCTTCAGGTTACATACGCTTCAGGTTACACACTCCACTAAGCCAGAAATAGTGCTTCAGGTTAAGAACTTTGCTTCAGGATAAGAACAGAAATCGTGCTCCGGCGGCGCGGCGGCAGCAGGAGGCCCCATTAGCTAAAGTGGTGCTTCAGGTTAGGAACAGTTTCAGGTTAAGTACGGACCTCCGGAACGAATTAAGTACTTAACCCGAGGTACCACTGTATATATATATATAAAATGTGCTATATGCATCTTGCTATAGGAATAGAAACGTAAGGCTGTCGTCACGCTGCCATCCGGCAGCGCAAACGGCTCTCCCCGCTCGGCGTTGGCGTTCATTGAAGAAGCCCTGCTACCTCTGGCGGAGGAAGGGGGAGCATAGCCACTCTGGCGAGTAGCCACTGATAAAAAGAAACCGAGAAAAAAGAAAGAAAGAAAGAATTGGGGGGGGGGCAGAGACACAGAAAAAACGATGGAGAGAATGAGAAAGCAAGGAAATATTTGACCCCTGACTAGAGCTTTGGGGGGCTGCCAGGAAGGATTCTACACACACACACACAAAATATAGATGCATGCTATTCCGAGCAAACCCCATTCGTCTCCCCCCCCCCCAAAAAAAATTGTGGCTCCATTTGAAGGAGAAATTTGGGGGGAGACAAAAAGGGTGCACGTTTATCGGTTGAGGTCTCAGCCCCTCGACTCTCCTCTGCGCCCCCCCACCGAAAAATGAGGCAGTTTTTTCCCCTCCCTTCCAAATTATATCCATGTGTGGAGAAGCAAGGCAGCCAGAATCTGTAGCGGGCAGGGAGGGGCTATTTCCGGGGTTTTTTTGGGGGGGGGAGAGGAAGGAGGAAGCGAAGGGAGAGAGAGGAGGTTTTGAATGCGTTCCAGTTCTGCCTGAAGCCAGAAGCCGAAGGGAAGTGGGGGAGGAAACTATACTTGGCTTTATTAAATAGGAACACCCCCCCCCAAATTTGGGATCTCCCCCCCCCCCCGCAAAAAAAACTTGTGCCAAAGTTTTGAACTCGTTTCGTACCTTGGTTTTCCGGGTGTTAACGGCAAACCCCGGTTTGATGAATCGATCACACGGTTTGTAGGGGGGGGCTATATAAAACAACCCCCCCTCCAGGCACAAAACTTTGGCACAAGTTTAGAGGGGTCACCAGATTTCTGGGTTCCTGTTTAATATACTTTCCAATGCCAAGCTCTTTAAAAAAATTCTGCTCCCTGAAATGAGGCTGCATTTTAATGTTGCGCTTTAATCTTGTTTTTAAGTTGTATTTTAATCAATTGTTTTTATAGCTGGTGTTAGCCGCCCTGAGCCCAGTCTTGGCTGGGGAGGGTGGGGCATAAATAAAATTTATTATTATTATTATTATTATTAATTCTTAAATCTGCAGCTGACCAGGAAGCTGGACCTCATAACTGCCTAGAATCACATAATTGAGGAGATGGGCCCCACAGCGGACATCTAGCTCAACCCAGATGATACAGACATTGCGTCGACGGGGCGGTGCAAAATTTAGTATAGCAGCGCCATCAAGTTAATTATTTCCAGGCTGGCGTTGGTGGAGTGGTCAGAGTGTCGGGCCAGGATTTGGGAGGGTTCAGGGTTCAAATCCCGCCGCAATGGGCCACGAAGTTCCCATTAGGTGACGCTGGGGCGCCCAGCCACTCACTCAGCCCAACGTACCTCTCAGGGTTGTCGTTAACATGGGGAATGTGTGGAGGGCCCTGAAGGTGGACGGCAAATGTAATCCAAGAAATAAATATTATTGAAACTGATTAGCCATCTTTTTTTTAGAATTCGTCATGCGAAAGGCTGGTCTGGATGATTCCCTGATTAAGATTGCCGGAAGAAATACCAACAACCTCAGATATGCAGATGACACAACCTTGATGGCAGAAATCGAGGAGGAATTAAAGAACCTTTTAATGAGGGTGAAAGAGGAGAGTGCAAAATATGTTCTGAAGCTCAACATCAAAAAAACAAAGATCATGGCCACTGGTCCCATCACCTCCTGGCAAATAGAAGGGGAAGAAATGGAGGCGGTGAGAGATTTTACTTTCTTGGGCTCCATGAACACTGCAGATGGTGACAGCGGTCACGAAATTAAAAGACGCCTGCTTCTTGGGAGAAAAGCAATGACAAACCTAGACAGCATCTTAAAAAGCAGAGACATCACCTTGCCAACAAAGGTCCATATAGTTCAAGCTATGGTTTTCCCAGTAGTGATGTATGGAAGTGAGAGCTGGACCATCAAGAAGGCTGATCGCCGAAGAATTGATGCTTTTGAATTATGGTGCTGGAGGAGACTCTTGAGAGTCCCATGGACTGCAAGAAGATCAAACCTCTCCATTCTGAAGGAAATCAGCCCTGAGTGCTCACTGGAAGGACAGATCCTGAAGCTGAGGCTCCAAGACTTTGGCCACCTCATGAGAAGAGAAGAGAAGACTCCTTGGAAAAGACCCTGATTTTGGGAAAGATGGAGGGCACAAGGAGAAGGGGACGACAGAGGACGAGATGGTGGGACAGTGTTCTCGAAGCTACCAGCATGAGTTTGACCAAACTGCGGGAGGCAGTGGAAGACAGGAGAACCATAGCTTTAACTATACGGACCTTTGTCGGCAAAGAGATGTCTCTGCTTTTTAAGATGCTGTTGATTCCTAAATGGAGACTCCATGGAGAGTGGCAGTCTACCTTAGAGTGGTCACACACACATACACACCCCCCCTGGACAGCTCCAGGCCCCTAGCCCCACCCCACCCTTTCAAAAAGGACGTAAAATGTACTCACCACCACCAGGCGTGTAGAAATCCGGGTGGTTCTCCAAGCGTGATGTTTTTTTCCCACCGGATCTGGCCCAAAAAAACACACCCCACAACCCAGTTAAGACAGGCTGGAGGGAAAGTGGTTTGGTACCCCAAGTGGGGGAAACTTCTAGGGGAGAGTGCAAAGGGAAGGATGCCCCGAAGGTTGGGACGACAACGACACAGATGTGCCTCAGGGGCAGAACACATGCTTGGCATGCAGAATGTCACTGCTTGGCGCCCGCTATTAAAAAAACCAGCTCTTTCCTCGAAGCAGGAGACTTGGAAATTTATTTTTTTAGAGGGTGTGTGCCATCGCTTCACAGGTAACAGCCGCTCCTGGGCATGTAGAACGTCTCCAGGTGTGGGCTGGCAAGGACTGCTGCTGCCAGTCCGTGTCTGCGGTACTGAGCAAAGCAGGGAGAGGCTCTTCCTGTCTGCCCTGCGTTCAGTGAATTACTGTATTTTTTCGCTCTATAGGACACACCCGACCATAGGACGCACCTTGTTTAAGAGGGGGAGAACAAGAAAAACATAATTCTCCCCCTCTCTGCTCAGCGCCCCTTCAGCGAAGCGGCAGGAGATACGGAGCCCCTTCCATTTCTCCTCCCGCTTAGCGGAAGGTGCGCTGCGCAGCTCTCCCTCCCTGCTGAAGCCAGGAGAGTCTTGCTCTCCCGGCTTCAGCAAAAGGAACCGGAAGTCTTCGGAGCGCAGCGGCTATCCCTGAAGCCTTCACAGCGCAGTGCGAGTTCCCGCTGCGCTCCAGAGGCTTCAGGTTCCTTTTGCTGAAGCCAGGAGAGTCTTGCTCTCCCGCTGCGCTCCGGAGGCTTCAGGCGGCTATCCTTGAAGCCTGGAGAGCGAGAGGGGTTGGTGCGCACTGACGCCTCTCGCTCTCCAGGCTTCAGTGAAAGCAATGCGTAGCCTCCGGAGCGTGGAGGGAGCGCTCCCTCTGCGCTTCGGAGGCTTCTCGTTGCTATCGCTGAAGCCAAGGAGCCTGCATTCGCTCCATAAGATGCACACACATTTCCCCTTAATTTTTGAAGGGGGGGGACATTTTATCATATGTGGTGGGATTGTAAGGTAATTAAAAAATTATGGGAAATGATATACAACGAATTGAAGAAAGTGTTCCATTTAACATTTGTTAAAAAACCTGAAGCATTTTTATTAGGGACTGTAGGGAAAGACCTGCCAAAAAAGTTGAAAAACATCTTCATGTATGCCACAACGGCCACAAGAGTTTTAATAGCACAAGGATGGGAGACTGAAGAAACCCCAACTAAAGAATCATGGCAAGAAAAATTGATGGACTATGCAGAACTGGCAAAACTGATATACAAGCTGCGGGACAAGGATAACTGTGACTTTAAGGATGAATGGGAACCTTTCACAAAGTATCTGAAGACGCAACAAAGCGAACTGGACTCCTTGGCAGGTTTTGAATAAACATTCACAAACTTTTTATTGATAATAATCAGCTAAATAGTTGGAGGATCTATACAACTGTGTAACATGCAGAAAACAGCATTCTTAGAGAAACCGAAGACTGGAACTGAGGGAAGTCGGGGGGAGGGAGGAAAAATGGGGGGGGGGGGGACAAGGATGATATGTTTTTGGATAACATGTCTTGTTATAATTTTGAATAAAAAAAATTTGGAGGGGGAAAAGTGCATCCTATAGAGCAAAAAATACGGTATTTGCTTCCCCAAAATAAAATAAACAGATACATCTTTTTTTGCAGGTTATGGCTCTGCCCCCATCCCATCTTCCAGACCCCTATCTCCTCACCTCTGAGAGGAAGGTCTGCGCTGATTTCTGCGCTCCGATGTGAAGAAGGTATTCATAAACGTACAACGCCAACCTGGAAGGGTGAGAGGCGTCAGTCTAGGGCCTGCCAGGCCTGGATAGCTCAGTTGGGGAGAGCAGGGTGCAGAAAACGCAGGGGTTGCGGGTTCGAATCCCGGTCATTTCAGGGGGTTGGTCTAGATGACCGCCAGGGTCCCCTCCAATTCTATGGTTTCTGATTCTATTCTGCTCCCCCTCCCCAAAGCTCCCTTTCTACCTATTCCCAGCAAATCCTTTGCGCGGGGGTATCCAAATCCTTTCAAATACTGCTGGACTCCCAGCCAGCCAGCAGGACCACTGGTTAGCGTTGGTGCAAAGAGATGCTATTTCGAAAAGAAGCATTCTCTCCTGAGAGGGGAAAAGGTGTCTTAAGAACAGGGGCAACAGCTACGACCTGCGACGGGAATGTTCTACGCTCCCCTGTCGGAGGCAGTAAACTCCTCTGGATAATATCAATCACTGGGAATCACAAGCCGGGAGCAGCGCCGGATTTTGGTGCTTTCCCTGAACCGGGTGCCGAGCATTAAAGGTAAAGGGACCCCTGACCATTAGGTCCAGTCGTGACCGACTCTGGGGTTGCGGCGCTCATCTCGCTTTATTGGCCGAGGGAGCCGGCATACAGCTTCCGGGTCATGTGGCCAGCAGGACTAAGCCGCTTCTGGCGAACCAGAGCAGCGCATGGAAACGCCGTTTACCTTCCCGCTGGAGCGGTACCTATTTATCTACTTGCGCTGGTGTGCTTTCGAACTGCTAGGTTGGCAGGAGCAGGGACCGAGCAACGGGAGCTCACCCCGTCGCGGGGATTCGAACCACCGACCTTCTGATCGGCAAGTCCTAGGCTCTGTGGTTTAACCCACAGCGCCACCCGCGTCCCTTGTGCCGAAGCAGATGGGGGCACACAAATATCACAATTAATATTTATTAGATTAGTCGGCCGCTCTTCCAACCGCAGAACCCAGGGTGGTTCGCAGCAGGAAAAGGGAAGGTAGCAAAACACACAATGCACAAGGATATGCTTTCATTGCTTAGCTATGGTCCCAAGGTCCTAGTCCTCCTGTAAAGGTAAAGGTAAAGGTACCCCTGCCCGTACGGGCCAGTCTTGCCAGACTCTGGGGTTCTGCGCCCATCTCACTCAAAAGGCCAGGGGCCAGCACTGTCCGCAGACACTTCCGGGTCATGTGGCCAGCGTGACAAAGCTGCATCTGGCGAGCCAGAGGCGCACACGGAAACGCCGTTTACCTTCCCGCTAGTAAGCGGTCCCTATTTATCTACTTGCACCCGGGGGTGCTTTCGAACTGCTAGGTTGGCAGGCGCTGGGACCGAGCAACGGGAGCGCACCCCGCCGCGGGGATTCGAACCGCCGACCTTTCGATCGGCAAGCCCTAGGCGCTGAGGCTTTTACCCACAGTGCCACCCGCGTCCCTAGTCCTCCTGTACAACCATAGAATTGTGGAGTTTGCAATGCAGAAATTTCAGCTGAAGAATCCAAGGCAAGATGGCCTTTGAACCTCTGCTTAAAAACCTCCAAGGAAGGAGACCACCTACAGAGGGAGTCTGTTCCACTGCAGAACAGCTTTTACTATACAGGATGCTAGCATAACAACAGGGACACGGGTGGCGCTGTGGGTTAAACCACAGAGCCTAGGGCTTGCCGATCAGAAGGTCGGCGGTTCCCCGCGACGGGGTCAGCTCCCGTTGCTCGGTCCCTGCTCCTGCCAACCTAGCAGTTCGAAAGCAAGTCAAAGTGCAAGTAGATAAATAGGTACCGCTCCAGCGGGAAGGTAAACAGCATTTCCGTGCGCTGCTCTGGTTCGCCAGAAGTGGCTTAGTCCTGCTGGCCACATGACCCGGAAGCTGTACGCCGGCTCCCTTGGCCAATAAAGCGAGATGAGCGCCACAACCCCAGAGTCGGCCACGAATGGACCTAATGGTCGGGGGTCCCTTTACCTTTACCTTTTAGCACAACAACAGCAGCAGCAGCAGCAGCAGCAGCAGCACAAGCATATATTTCCTATTTTCACAATACAGTGGTACCTCGGTTCTCAAACTTAATCCGTTCCGAAAACTCCGTTCCAAAACCAAAGCGTTCCAAAACCAAGGCGTGCTGCTTTCCCATGGAAAGCAATGCAAAACGGATTAATCTGTTCCAGACTATTCAAAACAACCCCTCAAACAGCAATTTCACATGAATTTCACTATTGAACGAGACCGTCGATCCACAAAATGAAATCGATAAACAATGTGCTGCAGTCACACCACCCATCCATCAGTAGCTGAACTGGGTTTCATGCAGTTGCAAAAGCGCTGTGACGACAAAAACACAAAAATAAATACAGTGGTACCTCAGGTTAGTTACTTAATTCGTTCCGGAGGTCCGTTCTTAACCTTAAACTGTTCTTAACCTGAAGCACCACTTTAGCTAATGGGGCCTCCTGCTGCTGCCGTGCGATTTCTGTTCTTATCCTGAAGCAAAGTTCTTAACACGAAGTACTATTTCTGGGTTAGCGGAGTCTGTAACCTGAAGCGTCTGTAACCCGAGGTACCACTGTAGCAAAAACAGACAAGACCTCAGCATTACACTCAAATCGGAAGTGCGACACTCAAAACGGAGCATGTTCGGCTTCCGAAAAAAGTTCGCAAACCGGAACATTTCCTTCCGTGTTTGCCCTGTTTGGGTTCCAAGTTGTTTGAGATCCAAGGCATTTGAGAACCAAGGTACCACTGTCATTCATTTTTGTGCATTCATGAATCTTCTCATTAGGTACCTGTATGAATATAGGTAAAGGTAAAGGGACCCCTGACCATTAGGTCCAGTCATGAACAACTCTGGGGTTGCGGAGCTCATTTCGCTTTACTGGCCAAGGGAGCCGGCGTACAGCTTCCGGGTCATGTGGACAGCAGGACTAAGCCGCTTCTGGCGAACCAGAGCAGCGCACAGAAACGCCGTTTAACTTTCCGCTGGAGCGGTACCTATTGATCTACTTGCACTTTGACGTGCTTTCGAACTGCTAGGTTGGCAGGAGCAGGGACTGAGCAACGGGAGATCACCCCGTCGTGGGGATTCGAACTGCTGACCTTCTGATCAGCAAGCCCTAGGCTCTGTGGTTTAACCCACAGCGCCACCCACATCCCCTGTATGAATATAGCTGTATATATATTTTTGGGAGGTGCCATATTTTGTCCTCGCTCAGGGCAGCATATTACCAAAATCCGCCTCTGTGGGGAGAGTCGGTTCCCCTATGGGGGGCAGCTGTTTGGACATGGGGGGCAACCGGACTGGACCTGCCCCCTTGGGCCTAATCCTACCCCAGTGATCTTCCTAAGTTAGAAAGCCTGCCATCCTCTCTGGGTGTTGGGTACCTCGAATTCCCAATGAGCCAGCATGTACAATGGTTAGCGATGGAGGGAGTTGGGAGTCCAGGAAAGACCACAAACTCCCTTCCCTGTGCCTGGGGGGTTTAACTGAGACTCCCCCCCCCCTCCAGGCTCTGTAGGTTGGGAGATGGTTCTGTTGGATCGGGGCAAATCACCTGGCATGCGGAGACTCCAAATGCCACATATGATCAGTAAGGTAAAGGTAAAGGGACCCCTGACCATTAGGTCCATTCGTAGCCGACTCTGGGGTTGCGGCGCTCATCTCGCTTTATTGGCCGAGGGAGCCAGAGTACAGCTTCCGGGTCATGTGGCCAGCAGGACTAAGCCGCTTCTGGCGAACCAGAGCAGTGCGCGGAAACGCCATTTACCTTCCCGCTGGAGTGGTACCTATTTATCTACTTGCACTTTGACGTGCTTTCGAACTGCTAGGTTGGCAGGAGCAGGGACCGAGCAACGGGAGCTCACCCCGTCATTGCGGGGATTCGAACCGCCAACCTTCTGATCAGCAAGTCCTAGGCTCTGTGGTTCAGACCTAAAGGTAAAGGTAAAGGGACCCCTGACCGTTAAGTCCAGTCACGGCCAACTCTGGGGTTGCGGCGCTCATCTTGCTTTACTGGCCGAGGGAGCCGGAGTACAGCTTCCGGGTCATGTGGCCAGCAGGACTAAGCCGCTTCTGGCGAACCAGAGCAGCGCACGGAAACGCCGTTTACCTTCCCGCTGGAGCGGTACCTATTTATCTACTTGCACTCTGACGTGCTTTCGAACTGCTAGGTTGGCAGGAGCAGGGACCGAGCAACGGGAACTCACCCCGTCGCGGGGATTCGAACCGCCGACCTTCTGATCGGCAAGTCCTAGGCTCTGTGGTTTAACCCACAGCGCCTATTTAATAAATTTGTAGGCCGCTTTGTGGGAGAAAAAACCTAACGCGGGACGAGTTGTAATTCTCACATTGCAGGGGGCTGGACCATAGTGGTCAACTGTCCCCTTTTCTTGCGAGGAATCCTATTCGGAATAAGGGAATTTCCCTTTAAAAAAGGGAAACGTTGACAGCTATGGGCTGGACTAAATGACTTCTGGAACTCTGCAAAGCTAGGCATCTTGGATAAAGGGCAAAAACAATATACGCTTTCCCCCGGAAAATAAAAATAAAAACCATTTCGGCAAACTCTGAAGCGAAACGAAACTAAAAATTGTTACAGCAAAATAAACAACAACTGGATAGTAGCTTCAGCTGGTTAGAGACTGGCCTCATTGGAAGGGGTAATAAATAATAATAATAATAATAATAATAATAATAATAATAATTTATTTATTTATACCCCGCCTATCTGGCTGGGTTTCCCCAACCACTCTGGGCGGCATCCAACAAAATATTAAAATACAATAGTCCGTCAAACATTAAAAGCTTCCCTAAACAGGGCTGCCTTCAGATGTCTTCTCTAAAAGTAGGGTAGAGGATTCCGGGGTTCCCTTCCAGTTTGACAATTTTACGATTCTATAACACCCCCCCCAAAAAAAATCAATATAAATGTGTAACGCACAGACATTTGAATCCAAAACTCAGATCCTAAACTCTATATGTGTGGATGGCCAATCCACTGCTCAGCGCCTGGTAAGCCGCAGGTAGACTGTGCCTGTGGTTGGGGGCTCAATTCTTAGCCGTCACCATTGCTCAGAGTTCCCCCTTTGGGACTGATTTTTTTTGGGGGGGGGCAGGGAATTGGGGACGAAGACTTGTGCTCTAGTCAACTTGCCATTAGGCCTTGTTCAGAGCCCCCTCCTCTCCCCCCCAAAATAAATAAATGTCCAGGAAGGCTGCTGGATGTGGCTGGTTGCAGCTCCCCCCAAAAATGTTCCTGCACGCCCCCCCAAAACTGTCCACCAGGTCTGCCAAACATTTGAGGGGAAGCAAGTTATGAGCAGGTCTTCCCAACTTGACAACATCCTCTAAGGTCCAGTGCATTTTTTTGGGGGGGGGCACACAAACACTCTCTGCCCCCACTCCCTCTTTTCACCTCCCCCCCAGAAATACTTTCAGACCCTCTCTGCTCCCCCAACTCCAAAGTCCACCTCTCTGTTGTTGCCCTATCCATGAAACCACACACAAACCCATAGCTAACCCCCCAAAAACTAATTTTCCTTCTGACAGAGTCCATGAATTGCTAGGGAAATAAAGGGGTGGGGAGGCAGGTCAGGACACCCCCCCAGCTTTGAAACACCCCCCAAGCCTGCTTCTGATTCATGGGGGGGTCCTCTGCATGGGAAAGTCGACACAGGAAGTTTGCAGCAAGGAGTTGGGCTGATTTTGGGAAACGGGCTCCCCAAATCTCCAAAGGAAATTGATGTTTGGGGGGGCTGTCTTTTTGAGGAGGGGGTCCCGCTGCCTGATAAAACTCCCTCTGGGACGTTTCGGGAGTGCATTTGGAGTGGGGAAGGGGGTGTGAGTGAAACCGGGCTGATTTTGGGGGGGAGACGGGGGTGCCCAAATTTTAGGGAAATTGATATTTGGGAAACTGGTATTTGGTAAGATGTCCCACCGTCTGAAAAGCGAGGAAGTTTCAGGAGTGGGTTTTTCTCTGGTGGGGGGAGGTGAGTGGAGCTGATATGGGGGTGGAAGACCCCCAAATTTCCAAGGGGGGTATTTTGGGGAGGAGAAACTCCACCTTGGAAGTTTTAGGCTTTCATTTTTTGTGTGCGTGGTGAGGGTTTAGGCTGGGAGGCATTGAGCTGATTATTTGGGGGGGCGTCTCTAGATTTCCAAAGAAAGGGGTCTTGTCGTGGTGGGGGTCGTGTTTTTTTCGGGGGGGGGAGAGGGAGGGAAGGAGGGGGTTTCCAACTCACTTCTCCCGCGCCTGCCCGTCGGAAGGTACGCCGGAGCCTTTCCCTTTGGCGTACATGGCTGGCTGGAGGGGGGGTCTCTCCGGCGTCTCTGGAGGGAGGGGGGGTCCGCACCTGCAGCTAGAGGCAGGATCGGGGCCGCCACCCCGGGGAGCATCGCCGCATGGCGCCCTCAAGGCTCCTCGGCTCCAGGAAGCGGCGGGCGCGCCAGGCTCGACGCCGCCGCGGTGATGGCTCCTCCGGGCGGGCTCCAGGAGACCCTCCCTCCTTGCTTTTCTCTCTCCCCCCCACCCACCCCCCTTAAAAAAAAAAACCTCTTTTTTTTCCAGTGGCTCTTCCGAGGAAGAAGCACCCTCCCTCTTCGACTGCGGCGCGCGCGCTCTTAAAAGGGCAACGGCGCCGTCGGAAAGGAGTGGGGCGCGCGCGCGCGTCTTTGGAGACGCGTGTTCCTTCCATCGCCAGGTGAAAAAAGGATGCTTGGGTATCCTGACCTGCGGCGCCGGGTTTACGTGTTATCCAAACAAGCTACAGCTTGCCCCTAAAAAAAATTATACACAAATAACACTGGGATTCATTGATTGTATGGGGAAATAAATTGTGAAGGTATATGAAAATATAAAGGTAAAGGGCCCCCTGACCATTAGATCCAGTCGTGACTGACTCTGGGGTTGCGGCGCTCATCTCGCTCTATCTGTAAGCTAAACAAGCTATAGCTCGCCCCTAAAAAATTATGCACAATTAACATTGGATTCATTGATTGTATGGGGAAATAAATTGGGAAGGTATATGAAAATATCTGGCAAGGACCCCGTTACATACAAAGATTAAAAGTACAATACTTTCCTTTTTCTTTTCTTTTTTTGCCGTTATCATCCTTTATTATTTGATTCACATAATATACATTCCTTACAACAAACAACTCTAAAGTAAACAGACAACTCCAAAATCAAATCAAACATTGGGATTCATTGATTGTATGGGAAAATAATTTGTGAAGCTATATGGAAATATCTGGCAAGGACCCCGTTACATACAAAAATTAAAACTAAGTACAATATTATTATTTTTTGCTTCTATCATCCTTTATTATTTTATTCACATAATATACATTCTTTACAACAAACAACTCCAGAATAAACAGACAACTCCAAAAATAAAATCGGGGGGGGGGGGTTTAAAAAATTAAAGGGGGGAAAAACAACTGGATGTACAGTTCCAAAATACATAAGATGAAAAAAGAATAAAATGAAACCTAGATACAGCAACAGTGTTTTGTGTTGTGTAGGCTCCGATGATGTAAGTCGCGGGCCCCGCCCATCAGTGGACTACTATGGTGATACAGTAAAGGTAAAGGGACCCCTGACCGTTAGGTCCAGTCGTGGCTGACTATGGGGTTGCGGTGCTCATCTCGCTTTACTGGCCGAGGGAGCCGGCGTACAGCTTCCGGGTCATGTGGCCAGCAGGACTGAGCCGCTTCTGGCGAACCAGAGCAGCGCACGGAAACGCCGTTTACCTTCCCACCGGAGCGGTACCCTCAGCCATTAAAGCGAGATGAGCGCCGCAACCCCAGAGTCGGCCACGACTGGACCTAATGGTCAGGGGTCTCTTTACCCTTTACCTTTAACCTCAGGCATGGCTATACTGGCTATACTGAATAGCAGCAGCTGTGCCGGAGTTCAGTCAGAGAGTCCCAGCGCTACAGAGATTACAGGGATTTAACCCTTCTGCATGCAAAGCAGGTGTTCTGAGGTGCAGCCCTGCTATATTCCTAGACCCGCGAATAAAAACCACATAGCACTAGAAGGATGGAGACAAACCCAACTGTGGCTGATGTTTGCACTTTGGGCAAAGGCCACCAGGTGGCGTCCCAGGGCTAGCGATGGGTGGGGAAAGGTTTTCACCCTAAAGGTAAAGTTAAAGGGACCCCTGACCGTTAGGTCCAGTCGTGGCCGACTCTGGGGTTGCGGCGCTCATCTCGCTTTATTGGCCGAGGGAGCCGGCGTACAGCTTCCGGGTCATGTGGCCAGCATGACTAAGCCGCTTCTGGCGAACCAGAGCAGCGCACGGAAATGCCGTTTACCTTCCCGCCAGAGCAGTACCTATTTATCTGCTTGCACTTTGACGTACTTTTGAACTGCTAGGTTGGCAGGAGCAGGGACCAAGCAATGGGGATTCGAACCGCCAACCTTCTGATCGGCAAGTCCTAGGCGCTGTGGTTTAACCCACAGCGCTACCCACGTCCCGTTTTCATTCTAGAACTGTACAATTGCAGAGTTCGAGGGGACCCCAGCGGTCATCTAGCCCAACCCCCCGCCATGCCGGAATCTCAGCTTAAAGCATCCAGGACGGATGGTCGTCCAACCTCTGCTTATAAACATCCAAGGAAGGAGAGACCACCACTTCCCAAGGGAGACAGTTCCACTGCCAAACAGCTCTTAACATCAGAAAAGTTATTGCTGATATTTAGTCCCTTGTAACTTGGAAGCCACGGGTTCGAGTCCTACCCTCCAGAGCAGGAGAAAACAAGCCCGTGTGACAGCCCTTGAGATATTGGAAGATGGCTCTCGTATCTCCTTTCAGTCTCTGCTTTTCCAGGCTAGACATACCCAGCTCCTTCAACCACTCTTCATAAGGCATTGTTTGATCATTTTGGTTGCCTTCCTCTAATTATTATTATTATTATTATTTATTTATACCCCGCCCATCTGGCTGGGCTTCCCCAGCCACTGTGGGTAGCTTCCAAAAAAATATTAAAACACTGTAATACATCAAACATTAAAAGCTTCCCTAAACAGGGCTGCCTTCAGGTGACTTCTAAAAGTCTGGTAGTTGTTGTTCTCTTTGACATCTGGTGGGAGGGTGTTCCACAGGGCGGGTGCCACCACCAAGAAGGCCCTTTGCCTGGTTCCCTGCAACCTCGCTTCTTGTAGGGAAGGAACCGCCAGAAGGCCCTCGGTGCTGGACCTCAGTGTCCGGGCAGAACGATGGGGTTGGAGACGCTCCTTCAGGTATACAGGACCGAGGCCGTTTAGGGCTTTCAAGGTCAGCACCAACACTTTGAATTGTGCTCGGAAACATACTGGGAGCCAATGTAGGTCTTTCAAGACCGGTGTTGAAAATGCATATGGAACGCTTATGGAACACATGTTCCAGCTTGTCAACATCCTTCTTAAATTGTGGGGCCCAGAACTGGACACGGAACTCCAGGTTGTGGTCTGACCAAAGCAGAAGACAACAGGACTATGACTTCCCTAGACTTCTGTTGATGCAGCCTAGAATAGCATTAGCCGTTTTTGCTGCTGCATCACACTGTTGACTCACAGTTGAGCTTGTGGTCTACCAAGACCCCCTAGAGTATGGTTACCAGATTTTTTTCAATGAATCCGGGGACACTTTATTTATTTATTTATTTTGAAGCTGAGTAGCAACAGGGAGTCAGCAGTTGGGATGGTGAGGCAAAAGACCCTGGGCCCAAGCACACATGCATATATTGTATAAAGGTGCAAAGCCCTTCTTTTGCACCCTGTGAAACATACTGTGTTATTTATTTTATAGTACAGTACATTGATTATTAGGGAGTCGGGTGGCGCTGTGGGTTAAACCACAGAGCCTAGGGCTTGCCGATCAGAAGGTTGGCGGTTCGAATCCCCGCAGCGACGGGGTGAGCTCCCGTTGCTCGGTCCCAGCTCCTGCCAACCTAGCAGTTCGAAAGCACGTCAAAGTGCAAGTAGATAAATAGGTACCGCTCCAGCGGGAAGGGAAACGGCATATCCGTGCGCTGCTCTGTTTCGCCACATGACCCAGAAGCTGTACGCCGGCTCCCTCGGCCAATAAAGCGAGATGAGCACCGCAACCCCAGAGTTTGGCAGGAGCAGGGATTGAGCAACGGGAGCTCACCCCGTCGCAGGGAATCGAACCGCCGACCTTCTGATCGGCAAGTCCTAGGCTCTGTGGTTTAACCCACAGCGCCACCCGCGTCCCTGTTGTTGTATGTAGGTTGTATTTTATTTGTTTTTTATCTTATATTTTGGAAATGTACATCCAGTTGTTTTTTCCTTTAAATTTTTTGGGGGCCCCCAAGAGAGTGGGGCCCTAAGCTATAGCTTGTTTAGCTTATACGTAAATCCAGCACTGGACACAGCGTAGAAACAGAAGCTTTGTCCAACTCAGCTCTCGAAACTGAAAAATGAGGACAGGCTTCTGAGACCGTTTCGGAGGGCTCTGGTGTGAGCTTCAGCTGTAGCTGATGCATCTGTTTTTTTTCGCCAGGGCTTTCCGGGAACCGGGGGGGGTGAGGGGGTGTCCCCATAAAAGGAAGTAACTTTTCCTGTGTGCTGCTTCGGAAGAATGTGGTCAAACCAAATGTAAAACTCAGAAGGTTTGCAAAAGAGGAACGCAACTCCAATGGTTAAGTGCTGGAGGACAGGCAGATATGACAAATAAATATAAATAGTTATGGGAGACACCACGGCCTCAATATCAAGCTTTCCCCTCATTCACTTTCTCATAAACTCTCTCACAGAATTGTAGAGTTCGAAGGGATCCCATGGGCATTTTCGTCCAGTCTGCGGCAATGCAGAAAGTGCCCCCAATTCTTAGGAATTCAAAGAAGAAGAAGACCACACAATTTTGAAACAAGCGGTTAAAATCTGTTCCGGTCGACCCAGTCTGCCATATTGGTTCCAAATGGCTTTGGATAGGAATTTTGAGGTCTTAGATATATGGTAACGTTCATAAGTGTACCAACCAAGCACGTACAGTGGTACCTCGGGTTACATACACTTCAGGTTGCAGACTCCACTAACCCAGAAATAGTGCTTCGGGTTAAGAACTTTGCTTCAGGATGAGAACAGAAATCGGGCGCGGCGGCAGCGGGAGGCCCCATTAGCTAAAGTGGTGCTTCAGGTTAAGAACAGTTTCAGGTTAAGAACGGACCTCCGGAACTAATTAAGTACTTAACCCGAGGTACCACTGTACATAGATCAGCACAGGAAGACCGACCTGGAACCATTCTGACTCCTAAACTGAGCAAATGTTTTCTCTGCAAGGTCAAAGTGAGAAACCTCCCCATTGTCTTTTCCTTCACAAATCCTGTCTTAAGGACACATTTAAGATATGAATAGGGTGTGAGCCTGTGACCTGGCCCAGGAACTGAATATTTATCACTACAAAAGAATGGCCAGGCTCCTCAGGCAATCCAATCAAGTAACCTGCCAGACAGGAGATAAACAAGGACAGGAGAAAAACAACATTCAAATTTCTGCTGTAGACCGCCTTCTCTGTGATGTAGGTGT